AAGATGAAGATGAAGATGAAGATGAAGATGAAGATGAAGATGAAGATGAAGATGAAGATGAAGATAAGGATAAAGATCATAACCCCTTAACTTTAACTCATCTTAACTTAAAAACTTACTCCACCTGAGCTCACCACCCATTAATTCACCACACTTTAACTCCCCACACCTAAATTCACCACACCTCAACTCGCCAAACCTTAACCTCCCCACCTAAATCCACCACACCTAAATCCACCACCCTTAATTCACCCCACCTCAACTTTCTCACCACACCTTAACTCACCTCAACTCACCACACCAAAATTCACCACACCTTAATTCACCACACCTCAACTTTCTCACCATAACTTAACTCACCACACCTGAATCCACCACACCGTAACTCCTACACCCAATTCCACCACACCGCAGCTCACCACACCCAATTTCACCACATGACATGATATCACTTGATGTGGCATCAAAGGCAACATCATTTGGCATAAAATGAACCAAAATAAATAAGATTTAGATAGAGGTGAAAAAAGGGATAAAAAGGAAATACAACTGAAGAGTGTGCGATGTTATATTGTGGTGTGTTATGCTTCATATGTTATGTTATTTATTCTTATGTTATGGTTATGTTATGTTATGCCAAGTACTAAGCTAAACTCCCCTCCACTTAACCCATTCCAACTAATGTTATTTTAGCTCATTCAACTTACATAAACTATCCTTAATTTTATCGGTTGAATTTCAACCGCTGGGCGAACACTAGTTATTAATAAAACTGCTTAGTATTATTAATGAATATGCAAAAATTGTGCGACTAAACTAAATACAGTAGATGTGTAGTAGATAACTGCCGTTTCTGAGTTAACTACGCACTGTGAAATTGGCCCTTACACTTTCACAAAATGCACAGAGACGTGATTTTTTATGTTTACACATGATATTAAATTTTACGCAATTGCAACGAAATTAAATGTACTTCACTTTCGAGGTATGCAAGCATTTTTCAACAACATATGTACATACATACCACTCATTGTATATACAGGCAGCATAAGTACTCCGGCTACCACTGATAAGACAATTAAAATAATAAACGCCCTAATTACAAGTGCGACAGTTGGCGTATATTCGGACTCAAGGGGCTTTTTGGGGTTTCAAACTCCTCACTCACATTTGGGTAGCAAAGATGATTAAACTTTCGATTTTGAGAATTTTTTCCGGTATCACAGTTATAATGTGATCGAAAATACAAATCATAGAATGACGATATGATCGAAAAAATATAAGCAATAATTTATAGAGAAGCTTTGAAAACCCTCCTTAATCGAATCTTGTTGCCGTCAGCGTCTGAACGGTTGATGTGTGGTCAATGAGTGTGCAAGAAAGAGCATTTATGATAATACTTAAAAGATAGGTATTTAAGTAGTAAAGCGATATATTTATTGACCTCATATAACTGATGAGAGGTCTGTGGACTGATTAATATCACCGATATTAAACTTTCTGTGGGGAAAATTTAATTCTTGTATGTATATACTTAAGTGGTTATGCACGCTTGTGGTCAGGAGATTAAGTTAAGTGACATTTTGAATAGTTTTAGCTATTTTTCTTATTTACAAATGGCATAAATTACAAAAATACAACAGATTTCAGAATTTTAAACTTTTTATTCAGATTCTTTAGAAAAATGTTAATCGCGTTGAGGTGGTGCTGCTTATGTAATGTGCTAGACTTTTATTATAAAGTTATAAACATTAAATAAACAAAAGAAAAATAGCCAAAACTGGTCAAAATGTCACTTAACTTAATCAGTGTACATACATATTCAAAAGACTTATTTTACAAAAATAATATCACGAATAAAATGCATTCATAATTATTGCAAATTTAAAGTATTGCCTAGTAAAATTTTTCAGCACTTCTTAGCTGTCCGCTTAGCTTAGCGGTAGGATAATTTCATAATGTTTGTAGAAACGAGCCTCTAAAAAATGCTACCGCCCTGGCACCAACAGCAACTGTTAAGGCTGCGGATAGAAAAATTTACATAATTTTTTTTTTTAGATTCCAGTTTACCTAATATGCCACATTTTATCAGAAGTACTTTAAAGGCTTTGTGCTAACTTTCAAATCGGAGTACGTGGATGGTATCAAAAAAATAGAGAAAGGCCTTTGCTGATGGTGACCACAGTTGGCCATTTGGCCGTCGGTGATTGGTGTATATTCCTAGCTGTCATACTGAAACATAACATTGTTCCTCCAATAGTGCCCATGGCTCAAAGCTTTTGCCTGATTTTTAATGCAAAGGTACTATAAGCGATGTTTCACGAGAACTACACCCTAGCACTTTCCTTGCGTACAATGTACATATGTATGTTTGTTTCATGACCTTTTGGGCTCCTAATAGAACCCCAAAAATTCGGCTTTACTGAGGTCATATACATACATACATCTCCATAGTTATACCCTGTTGGGATTTGCTGCCCATGTCTTTAATAAACAATCACGGCGCTGCGCATAGCGTTCAAGCACAGCTCCAAGTCCAGCAATTCCAGGCGATTGACATTCTCAAAAACATCAAAAATTCGAGCTCTCCATGTTACATTTTGCTGAGCATTTACCTCGATACCGGCTCTATTGGGGTCGTCTTACTAAAAACTTGTATTCTGTACTCTTGCATTTCCGCTTTTACCATTCGTTTTCAAATGGTGGCTTATACTGCCCGGTGACTCTTTTTAGCGTTTACTGCATATGAACCCGGTCAGCATTTTTAATTATAATTTACATACATTTTGTTTGTGTACTTCAATGGTCGTTTGATCCAAATTTTTTTTTAGTTGAGCTTCGCTTTTTCATCGCGGACATATGTAGTAAGGCAGTTCACTCTTTGATGCGAAGACGCGAAAGGCAAAAATTAGCGTTTGTTTTGTTGCTTTGCTGTGCGTTTGTGCGAAACGACGCCATATGTTTGTTGTAAATACTGCCGATTTTCGTACTTTCGCTCAAACGTACAGAGTTTCGCATCAAAGAGTGAACTCTAGTAGTATGTATGCAACTCGTAAATGGCGCGAGAATGCTATAACTCGCCGAAAAATCTTCCAAATGATGGCTGGGTATATGCAAATAAGTACTTATACATAGTACGCACACATACATTCATTAAACCACCCAGTGGGAAAATGGCATGTTTGTAATGTATCGCCCTTATGGCTGATACACTACAAGACGCAAAATTTTTTGTACGGGATTTGAACTCGCAACCAACAAGTAGGGATGTACACCGTTTCCAAAAAATCCTTTTGTTTTTGATTAATCACAGTTTTTCATTCAGGTTTTAAACCGTTTAAAAAAAACTATTAAAAACCTGATCTTTTCGATTTACTGAAAAAACCCGAACTATATAAAAATACTGCAAAAAACCAAAGAACATCCATATCGAATTAAATTAAGTTTTCACTCACACTTACTACTTACTGCTGTGCAACGCAAATCAATTGTAACAATATTTCTTATATTTTATTTTATATAACAACTTCATTTCCAAAAATAAGAAATGTAATAAAGCGTAGGACATACATATTTATTCAAAAACACATTTCATTTTACAAACAAAAAAATTTGTCACGGGTGGGACATTTGTACAGTCAAAATAATAATAATAATAAAAAAATAGTCACGAATACTACCAAAGCAAAGCCTACAACAAAAATTATTGCTTTATTATAAAAAAAACTGAAATTCCTCTGCCACAGGTGGGACAACGTTTGTCACGGATGGGGCACGTACGAACTTTTATATGAAGAGGATGTTTTAGTATGGTCCATATGAAAGATTAGTTATTAAAAAATATAAGAAGCCAAGTAGAGGTTCAACTCACCCACTTTTTGCCCTAGAATAGTCATATTAAGACTCGCGATATGCTGCAGCTCTCAATATCTTTTTTAGGGCAAGTGGTGACACTAGGGGTATTCACGATCCGGTGTATACTGTCTAGCATTGCACTGCATAGATAGCATGATTGGCGAATTGTTTGAACACATGAAACAACAACAATCATGCTATTTAGCATAAATCTATGCACCATGCTAGACAGTATACAGTGAATACCCCTACTATGTTTAAAAATATGTGTGAGAGCATGAATTATTAGCAATCGTCTGTAATTTTTCGAGGGCACTGCAATTTGGGTGAAATGCTTCGAGTATTTACACTTTCGTTTGTACTAGCTAGGTATTGTTGGAGTCAAGAAATTTTTGAATAATCGAGTTTAAGGTCCAATTTGGCTCATATTTTAATATTTTCTTAACTAACTATGTGGAAACGAAAATGCAATAGTGGTAAACATTTTCAATGAATTTTTAACATTACGTAACAAAAACGAAACACAATCTCGATTTCTGTAATTAAATATAATAACTTTTAGTTTTTTGTTTGTCACGGGTGGGACAACGCCAATCCCGCTTAATATTAACTCATAATATAGTATACCCAAGAAGCATTGTGCTGGGTTAACAATTCCAAAATGATTGGAAAACGAATATTTTTTTCGAGTCCCACCTTCGGTAACGAATGTAGCATAGGTTAGTATTCGATTCGAGAACTAGGCCGTTCTTCAGCAAAACGGAACCTTCGTTATCCAATGTATAAAAGATATACTTAAATTTGTTCTCAAATTTTTCGTTTTGCTTGTGGCTAAGGATTACAGAAAATTCAGTTATCTCAATGATACGGCTTCAAACCTTCGGTTAAGCATTACCCGCTCGCTTATACTGCGATGCAGCTTTTCGTTCAGACGTAGGCGTTAATGTTTCCGTGGTAGAAAAAGGTAATGCATTCCCTATTTTCCCACCGGGGAGTTTCTTTTTACGTATTGAGTATGCACTGCTATGCAAACATGAGTTGATATTTCTGTGCATTGCCCCGATCGGTGATAACGAAAGTAAATTTCAAAATTATGTCACATTTTATATACATATGTACATATGTATATCTGTATGTATACATACATATATTTGTGTACATTGAAAAAGCTCATAATCCATGTTGTCCCAGTACGTTCGCCAACTTTTGAATATCGGCATTCAAGTTGAATGCGAATCTTTACTCGATTTTATTCAGCAGTTCATGGTTAGTTAGATTTTGGCTTTCAAAAGGCCAACAATGCCTTCTTAGTTGCTTTTCATTAATTGTTCGGTGGAAAAAATGGCGCTTCAAGAAGAAAATAATCATACAAACGAATCATCGCACAGCGTCTCAAATGGCAATGGCCCCCAATTGCCAGACTGGATAACAGCAGAATTGTTCAACAACTTCCTAAAGGAAACAGTGCCGGGATTTAGAGAAATCAAAAGCTTCAAAACAAAGTCCGCCGTGGCCCCGGGGGAAAATTATGCCACCATCATGCTGCGAATCGCAATGGAAATCAGCACGCAATGTTGGTTCGAGTAGCTATACTCGTAAAACACACGTACGATAAATCAAAAAGAGTCAAAACTCAAAATTTTTCCAAATTTATTTTGTTTCATAAAACAGTTCACAGAGCGTATATCTAAAGTTGTGATTGTTTTTGATTTAGGGTGCGATATGTTAATACATACATATATGTATATGTACACATATTTACATATGTATTTATATTTCCATATTGTTTGTATATATCAACAGCTGGCAAGGAGAAGACTCTGTCATATATGATGAAAATACCACTTGAGTCAATTAAGGACTTAATGGAGAAGCGAAACGTATTTGACATTGAAACCATGATGTACCGTTCGGTGGTGCCCGAAATGGAGCAGATGTATCGTGATGCCGGAGTCGAAGTTAAATTCTCCGCCGGCTACTACGACATCCAGAC